AGGTCACAGCCTGATGGTACCTCCCTGTGGGTGGAGCCCTCCCATAAGCAGGGTCCTAGGAATCCCTCCCTCTCTCTCTGCCTTCACCTTCCTGCTGTTGAGATATGCTGTGACCTGCAGGATCCCTGGAGATGTGTCCCCCGGCCATTGGATCCATAGAACTTGGCACCCACCGCCAGGTGATATTCCTACATCCTGCATCATTGTATGTGGCTGTGTGCGTCTGAAGAGGGACTTACGGACTAGTATCAGATATATGGACTTGGGTTGGCCTGGGCTGGGATGTTTTCTTGATATATAACTTCTTGTTATAAAGCTCTTCCTTAGACATAGATGAGTATTCCTGGATTTGAATCCACTCCAGAGAACATTCTGGAGTTACAGTTTTGGAAAGTCAGCACTAGAATCACTATGGAACAATTATACTCTTGGCACATACGGGGGTTCCACGAGGCCTCATGGACTCAACAGCAACTGCTTGGTTGGCTGCGGGAAGATAAGAGACAGCACATGGAGGACTACCTAGTTGTCCAGTCAGGATCACCCTACACCAGCTGTATGCCAGATGGTCTCCAAACAGATGAGTCATTCTAGAAAATTAGTACCTGCTAACAACCTTAGATTCATCAGTGATCCTGGCCAAGAAAGAAGAACCTAGCTAGTGATTAAGCTACTGAGTTTTGAGATGCTGCAGTGCTGGTGAGGTTATCCGTAGTTTGTTCTGATCCACATAATCGAATACCATGACATAGTCAATAAATACAAGTAAACATCTTGCTGACATTCTCTGCTTTGAGCCAAGGTCCGGCTGACGTCAGCAATGATCTCCCTCGTTCCAGAGCTTCTGACTTCAGCTGGAACCTCTCACAGCTCCCTGTTGATGTCTTGCTGCAATCATTTTTGGATGATCTGCAGTAACATGTTTACTTACAGGTGGTACCACAGATATTATTCTATAATTTGAGTATTCTGTTGTGTCACTTTTGTTTGGAATGGGTACAAATATGGGTCTCTTCCAGTTAAATGGTCAAATGTCTGTGTTCGAAGTTTCCTGGAGTAGACAAGTAAGTGCCTTCCAGTGTTTCATCAGCTTGTTGAAACATTTAATTGGTATTTCATTAATTCCTGGAGCCTTGTTACAGCATTCAGGGTAGCTTGAACTTCTTCCTTCAGTAATGGTGGTGCTTGCTCACATACTACCTCCTGATATGGTGAAATGTGAACTAGCCAGTGCTATAACTAGAGTTATAACTGCAGCTCTGTAACCATATGTGGCTATTTTGGTATGTATGTGTGGCTCTGAAGGAAAAGTGAAACATTTAAAAGATATTATTCAGATCATGGTGATTTCATGTGTTTGTAAAAAATACAGTTGTGACTCTCATATCATTTTTAAATTGTGAGAGAAAGGATTGGCTCTTCCATATCAAAAGTTGGCCAACCCTGGATAGGCTTTTAGAAATTGTGTAAATGAACCATTGTTTCTATGAACTGCAATACACGAATTATTGACTTGTATATAGTAAACTCTCAGCTGGACACTATTTACATAAATAGTGGGGGTTGATGACAGCACAAAACTT